CCACTTGTGCGCCTTGCCCCGGGAGGAGTGCCGCCCGCCCCTGTCCCCACCGTTGCCGTCGCTGCGGAGGCCCAGCGTCCCCGAGCGTCCCCGCCATGAAGCCCAACTTCTCCCTGCGACTGAGGGTCTTTAACCTCAACTGCTGGTGAGTGCGTCTGCTGACCCGGACCTGGGGCCGCCATCCCGCTTGCTCCCACACAGCCAAAGGAAGAAGGCCTTGCTCACATCCGGGCCGCGGCTCCGCTCGGTCCTACAACCTCGGGGTTGCGGGGACCACCCGCACCTCCAGGACGCACACCTGGCCCCAGCTCCGGTAGTACCCGGAGCGCAGGGCACCCCCAGCCGTCACCTCCCCTGGCCCTTCTTGTCCGCAGGGGCATTCCCTACCTAAGCAAGCACCGGGCTGACCGTGTGAAGCGCCTGGGAGACTTTCTGAACATGGAGAGCTTCGACCTAGCTCTACTGGAGGAGGTGGGCCGAGCGGAACCGGTGTGGAACCCTGGCTGGAGGTGGGGGCGGCTGGGGAAGCGGGACGGGGCTTTCTCCCTGGCATCTTTAACCTGCTCCTTAAGGTGTGGAGTGAGCAGGACTTCCAGGACCTGAGACAGAAGCTTTTGCCCACTTACCCAGCTGCACACTACTTCAGGAGGTGAGAAGCCGACTCACTTGGGAGCCTGTTCTCAAATCTGGGGGCTCTTGGCCCTGCCAGCCCTTCCCTATGCTTCCTGCACCCTCTTCCTTCACCCGAGCGTTTTCTCTGCTGGGTGTGGGAGCAGAAGGCAGAATGAGGAAAATCTAGATCCTCAGCTCATCTTAGCTTTATTATCAGGCCGTCATATCACCCCACCAAGGCCTTTTGCTTTGAGCTTTGTTCAGAGGCTGGTGCCTGCAGCACAGAGAGAAAAAAGTAGCTGATAAGAGCTGGGAGACAAAGGAGGGGAAGGGAGCTGGGTATTTCTCTCCCTGCTTTTCTGGTTATTAATCAGAACTTGGCTTTCAGCGGCATCATTGGCAGTGGCCTCTGTGTCTTCTCCAAACACCCAATCCAGGAATTCACCCAGCATGTCTTCACCCTCAATGGCTACCCCTACATGGTGAGCCTGATCTCTGACCTCTTCCACCTCCTTTCCCCACCCCCCACGAACACATAGTAAAGGAGGTCCCCTTCCTTGGACTATAGGGGATGGACAGAAAGAGAATGGCAGTGCCCTGAGTTCCTCCCCTCTCTTGCCTGCAGATCCATCATGGTGACTGGTTCTGTGGGAAGGCTGTGGGGCTGCTGGTGCTCCATCTGAGCGGATTGGTGCTCAATGCCTATGTGACCCATGTGAGTGAAGCTGGCAGTGCTTAGGGCTGGGACAGGCAGGCTCGTCCTGGGAGGGAGAGGTAGGACTTCTCTGGCTGGGCTGCCTTGGGGTGAGGTGTCTCTGGGCAGGATCTCCTAAGGCCAGCAGTCCAGGTTCACACATTTTTTAAGAAGCACCATACCAAGTGACAGACACAAGCTTGTTTTGCCCCTGCCCTTGGGACTCTGTCTCATCTGCCATAATCTCATCTATCTTACTCAGCTCCATGCAGAGTACAATCGACAGAAGGATGTCTACCTAGCACATCGTGTGGCCCAAGCTTGGGAGCTGGCCCAGTTCATCCAGTGTGTGAGCCTGGGCTTGACAGGGGAAGTGGGATGGGGCCCAGGGACTGAGGAGTGGCAAGGGCCCCACTTTTAGGACAGAGCTGGTGGGAGAATTCTTGCCTCACTATCTTGGTCACTCCAGCCACACATCCAAGAAGGCCGACATGGTTCTAATGTGTGGGGATCTCAACTTGCACCCGAAAGACCTGGGCTGTCGCCTGCTGAAGGAGTGGACGGGGCTATGTGATGCCTATCTTGAGACCCGGGACTTCAAGGTGAGGACCTGCTATCTATTTCCCCCCCTACACCTGCAGCTTCTCTCCCTCCTCCTTTCCCCACATCCTAGCTCGAGCCAGCTATTCACCTAGGGCTCAGAAGAAGGCTGTACAATGGTACCTGAGAACTGCTACGTCAATCGGCGGGAGCTGGAACAATTTCCCTTGGGCATCCGCATTGACTATGTGCTTTATAAGGTCAGACCACTCCCCACAACATGTCTTCACCCACTGTGTCTCTTTGTCTTTCACCAGCCTGTGCTGATCCTTTTTCCAACTAGTCTAGTCTTATATCACTGATGGCTGGAGAATGGGACAGCCAGGAGCTGGTTCTTTGGGAAGACACCCTCACAAAGAAGTTTCTCTCTGGCCCTTTTCCTAGGCAGTTTCTGGCCTATACATCTCCTGTAAGACTTTCAAAACTACCACAGGCCGTGACCCTCACAGTGGCACCCCACTCTCCGATCATGAAGCCCTGATGGCTACTCTGTGTGTGAGACACAGCCCCCCCCAGCACACCTCCAACCCTTCTCATGGTGAGTCATCCCCATCCTTTTCCTTGGCCCTTCCCCACCACAAGGCAGCCTCTCCACTCTGACCATCTCCCCCACCCCACTGCCCTGTCTTGTTCTAGGACCAGCAGAGAGGTCAGCATTGATCAGTGTGCTGAGGGAGGCCTGGACAGAGCTGGACCAGGGCATGGCTCAAGCTCTCTGGTGGGCCACCATCGCTGGCTACGTGATTGGTCTGGGTCTGCTGCTCCTGGCGTTGCTGTGTGCCCTGGCAGTTGGAGGAGGGATCAGGGAAGTTGCTATACTGCTCTGGACCCCTAGTGTGGGACTGGTGCTGGGGGCAGGTGCAGTCTACCTCTTCCACGTGCAGGAGGCCAAAGGCTTGTGTAGGGCCCGAGCTGAGCTCCAGCATGTGCTAGGAAGGGCAAGGGAGGCCCAGGATCTGAGCCCAGAGTCCCAGCCAGCTCTGCAACCAGGACGGCAGGAGGGGGACAGAGCTGAGGAACAATAAAGCTTGACACTTTTATGGCTCTGCCTTTTTCCTTTTAGAGGCAGTGACTGGGGCCAGCAGTCCCTGTGATTGTTACAGTGTAGACCTTCAGGCTCCTACACATCTTCCACCCTCCCTGCACACTCCCCCACCTCCCAGCTGCAGGCAGCCAAAAACGTTATGGCAGAGACGTTTTTATTATAAACAGTGAAGCCCTCTTCCAGGCAGCCCAGATGAACAGAGTGGCACCATGCTGGGGTGAGGTGGTCTTCGTTGCACGGGATAAGACAGGCAGCCCACCCTCTTTTAGCCCTGGGCCCCTGACCCTGCGGCCAGCTCGCTGAGCCTGCGCTCCTCCCGGAAGCGGATGAGGGCATCTCGCTGGTTCACCACGTCCACCAGCTGCCTCAGAACCTGGTCCTCAGCCTGCCGATCAGCAGCTGTCTTCAGGATTTCTGCAGGTAGGAGAGGAAGCTTAGAGAACAGAGAACTGGCAGGGAGGCAGGAGAGGCACAAGCTAATCCCGGCCTGTGTGACTTCTACAATCCCAGCTGTTTCCTAGTCTGAATTTGGTTTATCAGCACTAATGGTTTTCTACCATTGCTTAGCAGCAGCACCATTTCAAAGGAAATCTTGCATAAAAGCCCAATTGTGCAGCTCTGACTGCACTGAAGGTGCAGAGTAAGGGCATGGAGCCCCATCCTCTGGCTTCCTCCAATTCAAGAGGCAGTTCGGCCTCAGAGGTACTCAGACTAGAGGACCATTGCCTGGGCAGTATCTGATATCATGAGGCTTATACAGCCTCTCCAACGTCCCACCTACCTTCCCGGTTTATATAGGTTCGTAGTTTTTGGTCCAGCTGCCACTGTTTCTCCTCCAGGTTCAACTCCTGTACCCTGTGGAGGCAGAGAGAGAAAAGGCACAGGTGTCCGGGGTGCTGAAGGACCTGGCTGGAGCCTGGCTTATAGGCCACTGTCACCCACTCCCCAGCCTAGACACGCCTTACGTGATCATGAGCTCGGCCTCCTCAGCCACCAGGCTGTTTTTCTCCTGAACGAGCTGCAGCAGCTGTTCTAGCCATAGCGCCTTTTGCTTTTTGGGGGAACCTGATAAGGAAAAAGGGGAGCCAGTCAGGAGGCCTCCAGCCAGAGTCACAGGAGTCATGGGCATGCAGAGTGGAGCCTGCCGTGGGCTAGAGCCGGGTGGAGGAGGGGGTTGCTGGGGGCATTAAACAGTGCTCAGAGGCAGAGGTGTCCCAACTCATCGCTCCCCTGTCTTCACTCACTGCTCTGGCTCCTCAAGGCCAGCTCCAGCTTCGTGCCCTTGGCCTCCAGCTCCCTCAGAGCCACCTCAATCTCATTTAGTCGCCGCTGGATGGCCTGAGGAGTACAGGACAGGAGACCCAGAAGTCTGTGGATTGCTCAAGAACAGAGCCTGGGAGGAGCTCTGATGCCCAGTCTCAGAACTCTGACCCCATCAGAACTTCAGGAACCCCTAGGCCCCACCTGAGCCTTGCAGAACCGTTTCATCTCCTCCTCCTTAGCACGGCGCAGCAGAGTCCGACGCCACGTTGGGTAATTGTTCATGGTGCCTGAGTTCTTGGCCAAGTTCCACAGGACCTGTGGCAGGGTCAGGCCAGTCAGCGGTGGATAGGGGCTGGGGAAGCTCCATTTGGAAGGGACCAGAAAGACCCTGGACAGGAAGTGGGGTAAGTTCTGATAGAAAAAATGGAAGCTTAGAGACATGAAGGAGTCAAAACTGGGTGAGAAGACATTAGGAGACATTTGGACTCAGAGGAGGGAGCATGCTGAGGCAGGGCAGAGGGTGGGGGAGTGTATTTAGTGGATGTGTGCTGGCTTGGGCAGAATAGGTGGCCAGGTTCCTGCCACTTAACCTGTTGTGTGTCTGGATCCAAAGGCATATCTTCCTCTTCCTCTGCTTCCTCTTCACCGGAGGAGGGACTCTCTTCTTCCTCATTCTCCATGGCTGCCAGAACTGAGCAGAGAAGTAGACATGGCCTGGGATCCCCACGACCTCCCTTTCCATTCCCCAGCATCCCCTTCCAAGAATCCTAATACCACCAGCCCCATCCCCACCCTGGGCCAGCAGTTACCTTGAGATCTCTGGGCTGGTACTCCCCAGCCCACAAAGCTGCCCTCCAGGGCCTGGTGGGCCAAGGCAGAGCAGCTTCGGGGGGGCTTGGGTGGAGGCTCCATTTCCGGGTCAGGGGTAAGATGAAGGGAGGATAACTGCTGGCGTTCCGGGCTAGAAAGGCGGATCAGTCGACGGGTGGGCTGGCTGAGGCCTAGGGCAGGACTGGTCCCCTCCTGGGGGGCCATAGGAGTCGAGGGGCCTAATGGCATGTTACTCTCATCTGGTGTGGGAAGGTCCTAGAAAAGTCACCATATCTTTTGGTCAGGAACCTGCTCAGTGTGGGTTGAGGCTGCCCCTTTAGACAGATGTGGGCCCTGGCATTCATTCCTGTATGCCATTTCCTGAACAGTGGGATACATCAATAAGTGAAACAGGACAAAAATCCCTGCCATCGTGGAACTTACGCTCTAGTAGAGAGCGTTCGGTTACCCCTGGCAAAGTCGGCTGGGCTTGGACAGCCCTTCCCTCTTCCCCACCCCTCACACACACTTTCACAGCTTTTACCTGACTCTCAGGGCCTGTGTCACTGCCATCCTCTTTGTGGCCTGGTTGGGGCAGGTGCTGGAGGCAGTAGAAATGTCCTGGGAAGGTCAGAGACAGGAGGAGGCATCAGATGTAGGCAGCCCAGTGCCAAGCTGCTCAGTTTATCAAGGAAAGTGGGGCTGAAAGGACTGCATTTGCAGGTAAATTTTGACTAGCCTCTCCATTCCTTACAACCCCATGTTAGGGGCTTTGGAGGGGACAGAGAAGACCCTGAGCTCAGGGGAAGAAAGTGTCATCTTTAGCCTGTTTCTACCTCATGTCCAGCACCCCACTTCCCCTCCACCTTCAAGCTCCTGCCCCCCAGGCAGAGCCAGACCCAAAGTCCCTCTGGAGGCCTCCCAGTCTCACTTACCATCTTCTGGGTGCTGCCCATAGCCACCTGGCCACAATGTGGCCTCACAGATATGGCAGCGGAAGCAGCTCCGATGGAAGAAACGGCCATCGGCACAGAGGCGCTCCAGGATATAGAGGTGTTCCCCACAGAGCGCACACAGGTCCTCGGCACCGGCCTGCAATGGCCCCCAGGTTGCAGGTCAGCTGCAGTCAAGGCTGGCTGCAAATTCCTCTCTTCCTCTGAAACACCCCTTCCTGCCCTTCCAGGCCTGTCTGCAGACAGAGCCCCTGTTCTCACCTCCTGGTGTTCAGATGGGGGTGTCACGGGCTCTGGGACAGGTGGCTCCTCAGTACTTGGGGTTTCAGCCTCTACCTAAAAAGGTAAGTGCTCAGGCCCAGAGGTAGAGGGGCAGGCTCAGCTGGGGAGTGTATGGGTGCAGATGAATAGAAAGAACTGGAAGGAAGGGGAGCAAGACCAGGAAGGGAGACTGGATGGGGGGTTACAGAACCTGGGGTGGGGAGCAAGACATGGGGGGGACAGGACATGGGAAGGGACTGTCCAGCCCCTGTGAGCATTTACCTCCAGGCGAGGCTTCTTACCACCAGCATCCTTCCCGTTTTCCTGCAACAAGTCCTACATTCTGAGCCTGGGGGTCTGAGTCCCCAGTCCTCCACTTCCCTCATTCTCTTCCTTCCCATCACCCCAGAAATCCCCACAGGGAACTCACTGTCCAGCCCAACCCCACTCAAACTCTCCACCTGGGCCCGGGTCCGTTGCAGGGTCCTCTGCAGTTTGCCAAGGAGGAGTACAGCACCGGCGATGCCTGCGGAGCCTGGGCTGACGGGGCCTGCAGGGAGTCGGGGTAGACGGGGGGGCCCAGAAAGGAAGGATACCTCTCACAGGCTGTCTGTTAGAGGGTGCTCTCTCCTTTCTCTCTCTCTCTCTGTCTCTTAACACACACATCACCACACCTCCTCACCCCATCTCTGTCCCACCCACCTACCCTCCAGGTCACCTGGGTTGTGGGGTGTGTTCTTGAAGGCACTGTGGAAGTGGCTGAGGTAGGCAATGAGGCCCAGCGGGTCACTCCCTGCCACCACTGCTTGTGCAGACAGCACCGGCGTGATGCCCAGCTCATGCTCTGCCATCCTCAGCGCCCAAGAAGTTGCTTCCAGAGCCCCCACTCCCTGCAGCTCTGAGGGTTCCCTGTTGGGGGTTGGGGAGAAAAGCCAATGGGAGAATAGAACTTGACCCCATGGGAGAAGAGGGACAGTAGGAGGGAGGAGAGGGCATAAAGTGTATTTATTCTCTGTGCTACTCCCCCGTGCTCCCTCCCCAAAGACAAAGGCTGGCCTTGGGGGCCTCTACCACTCACAAAGCTTTCCCTATTGAACGCATGTGATTCTCCTAGGCAGGCAGAGTCAGGAATACCATCTCTAGGGAGGTGAAGTGACTAGGGCAGGATTATTAGCAAGAGGTGGCACTGGGACTCAGCTGGGTGTGCTAACACCTACACAGGGATCCCCCACCATTCTACCCTGCCTGGAGGCAGGGCAGGGGCATGAAAGAGAGGTATGGTCTGCCAGGGACCCCCAAGCCCAATTCCTGACTCACAGTAGGCTGGGCCGCAGTCGGTGCACCAGGGCACACAGAGCCAGCCCGTCAGCCCAGGAGGAAGACAAGTCGGTGACATGGACACCTGGGTACCCAGCTGTCTGCTCCTGGCACCAGCGCAGCAGCTCCTCCTGGGTGCCCGCTGACCCTAGGAGAGGAGGTTATGCTGTGCCCAAGGCCCCCTGGCTCTCAGAGCCCAGTTGCTGAGTGTGGGTCTGTATAGGAGTGGGAGGCAGGGAACGCACCCCTACGGGGGCCCCAGCTAACAGTGTCAGTAGCACCTCTTTCATCCCAATTTTTTCATTTGAAAAAAATACTTCTTTGGAATAAAGTAGGGGGATGAATGGAGTGAAATCATCGCTAGCCCCATAGAGGCAGCAGGCTATGAACTGAGGGGCAGAGGCTAAAAAGGAGAGGCAGGTTTGGGGTCTGCAAGGCGGGAAGGGGCAGGATGGCTGAGAATAGTGTAGCATGGCTGCCATCCAGCTGCTTGGTGACAGCAGTGGTTTAAATGCTGAAATACTTCCACACAGGTTGGCAGACAGCTGCCCCTGCGCTCTCCAGGACGCCCTCAACCTCCCCACTATCCACCAGTGCTCCAGACTCTGCTCCCTGCTGGTGGGGTGGCCACAGCTATTCTGATGCTCGGTGCTTGTGCCTCACTGCTCGGTAAATATTTTGGACATGGCCCTGGATGGAGGCCTGCTCACCGGTGGCCAGCTCTCCTGAGTCTGTCTTGTCACTGATCCTCCGAACCGGCTCCTTGGCCTCCACGTTATACAGGTCTCGTACCTAAGGCAGCCCCTTTCAGGCCTTGAGGCAGGCTGACCACACACCCTTCTCAGCCCATGGAAGAGGGGCTGCCTGGGTGGGACTCACCCAGAAAGGCAGTGACTGGGCCGGCCAGGAGGGAAGACCTGACCTGGTGGGGGCTGACCTGGCAAGTCTGGGGATACCGGGGGTTCTGACCTGATTGGGGGTCACAGCCCGGAGGTTCAGGTTGGGGTAGCGGGTGGTTGGGTCCAGCCCATACTGGGCCACATTATGGTGCATATTTTCTGGGGAGGTCTGTGACAGGAGCTGGTACAGGCTCTCTCTGGAGGGGGAGGGGGAGGGACAGGGGCACAGGTGGGAGGGCACTGTCAGCACCCACCCCTCAAGAATTGCCAGGCCTTTCTTTTGCCTATGCCCCCATCTACTCACCCAGCACCCCTGATCCTATTCCTGACTCTTATCCTATATCCAGCCCTGCCCTACCCCCCAACTCAGGCCTCACCGCTCTGCCAACACCTCTAGCGGCCCAACGCCCTCTGCCCACTGCTTCACCATCCAGGCAGCATCAAAGGCGGCCAAGAAGCCCCGGGCCACTCCAGTGCCCAGCGGCCAGAAGGGCTGTGGGGTCAGGAGGACAGGAAAACAGCTCAGTGCGAGTCCAACAGGAGTACCCAAGCCCAGATGCCCAAGGGCCAAAGCAGAGGGGCCCTCACCCCACCAAGCCGCCCTCAGCTCCTCCTTACAATAAGCAAACCTTTTTCACCCCCTCCCTCCCAGGAGGCCACTTCCTCCTTCAACCACAGAACCCCTGTGCTTCCTTACAAGGAGTCCAGAGAGCCCCTCTCCCTCCCCAGTCAGCGACATTGACCCCTCACCTCCACCAGGCAGTCCCCGACCAGCCCCAGCAGCAGGCGGGCGCCGTGCTTCTCCTGCACCCGAGCAGAGCTCTCTGCCCGCATCATGCTTGTGAAGTCAAAGGCAGAGACATCAGGCCGCCCATGGGCGTCTTGGGCAAACTCCAGCTTCCCAAGCTTGCCGTGGGTGGCAAAGTTGGCAGCTGCTCGAGCAAAGCGCTGCAAAGCCTCGGGCACCACATTGGCGCTGCCAAGCAGCCGGTCGGTATCCGGCCAGTCCTACATGGCCAACAGATCAGAACCAACAGGGTAAACTGGGCCATCCTGTCCCCTTAGGGTAGAAGGTACATATCCTGAGGCCCCAGGAAGGGGCTTCCCAGATGACACAGCAGTTGAAGGCTGAGCAAGGACTAAAATTTCAACTTCAACGTCCTCTCATGCTCAAGCCCTTCCCTCAACACTCACCCTATGCTGGGGTCTCAGGCCCCACCCTGCCTCCAAGGCCCAGTCTCATTACTGTTACCGTATACTCATTTGGACAAATCACTGAGCTTCTCAGAGCCTCAATTTCCCCATCATTTAGAAATAAGATACCTAACTTCTCAAGGTACTCGTGAGAATTAGGTGAGAAAATGCACATAAATCTCAACACAGTACCCGCACACGAGGTGTTCAACTAGTTCATTCAGCAAATAGTTTACTTATGTACACTTACTATATACCAGGCACCACTCTGGGAACTGGGAATCATCACCAAGAGAAACAAAGAGACAAAACCCCTGCCCCCATGCAGCTTACATCTATAGTCTTGTGGCTAGTATATGGTGTTTAGCCCAGAATATGAGCCAGACTGCTATGCAAGTCCCAGGGGAGAGAGGATGGGTTCCCTCTGCATCAAGGGGGAGACTGTGCCCAGGCCTGGCCTCTGTCTCCTGGGGCCCACCACCCTGCCCCTCTCTGCCTGGGCCCGGGCCCCACCTGACGCAGCACCCCCAGCCGCAACAGGCACTGCTTCTTGGCTGTCATCACAAAGTAGTGGGTATCATCCTTGTAGTATACAATGTTCTCCAGATCAATGCCTGTGGGGACAGGGCAGGGTTCAGGGGTTGTGTCTCCTCATTATGTGTCACCTCTCCACATACCCCAGCCATGCCTGACCTCCGAGAGATGGGATCACAGCTTAGCCTGCATTGGCTGCCCCCCCGCCACAGGAGCCCATGAGTTCTAGTGACACAATGGCCTATCTGTCCCAGGCCCAGGAGACCTAAAGATGTGGAGCAAAGAGAGAAACTTGGGTGGGGTGGCAGCTGGGAGACCTGTACCATGTGGTCACAGGCTTGCAGAAGACAGCCTGGCTTCTCCAACTGGGGTGTGCACACTCCAGGGGGCATGACAGTGTGAACCCAAACTAAACATAGGGCGTCTTCTGGAAGTCCCACTTTCATTTGGAATTTATATCGTTTCTATAGTAAAGCATATGTAAAGAAGCACAGAGCAAATCCCATGCATTCTTGGAAGAGATTTCTAAGACTTGTCCTACTAGGTGGTCAGCTGGGGCTATACCTGCTGAGTCTCCGGGGGCACGGGTTCTTTGCTGCCAAGACCGCAAAGATGGAAAAGTATGAGATTCCTTGAACTATGGACAGATCTGAGAGGGAGAGGCGGGAGGCAGGCCAAAGTCTGGCATGGGGAGGAGAAACCCTGTGGGCAGGGCCCTGACCTGTGGCTTTGAGCAGGCTCTGGAAGAAGCTCTGGTTGTAGATCCTGGCCACGCCGCTGATCTCAGGCACCTGCGTCTCTTCCACGGTGCGCCCATTTACAAAGTTGGCTGTGATGCCAATGGCCAGTTTGCCACGCATTTCTCGCACTGTGAAGCCTAGAGATGGGGACAGGTGGGGAGTGGCAAAAGGACAGCCCAAAAAAGCCCAAGAGGAAACCAAGATGCTGGCTCCTTCAAGGAAAGAGATCACTCACCTTCAGGGACGAATTTACCTCCAGCAGCAGAGATGAGGACATCAAATTCATAGTTGGTCAGTTGGGCTGGGGGGTTGGGCTGGAGCTGGGCACGCCAGCCACTCCCTGGGGCAGAGGGTGTGAGTGGTGCAAAAGCGTGGAAATCTGAAGGGGCCCCCATATTCCCAGGACAAGCCAGTGAAATAATTAAACATGTAAAGGGCTTTATGGTTTAGAAAGGGATGACACATTGTCTATCAAATTATACCTTCGCAACAGCCATGGGAAGTGGGGAAGGAAAGAAATACTTCACATTTTACAGATGCTCAAAATGCAGCTCAGTAGGGATTTACACAAGGCCACACTATTAGAAAGGGAGACAGCTCATTCCCAACCCCTCCCTTTTTCTTCCACAAGGCCAAGATGTCCTTGGCAGAGCCAGATATCAGGCTCAGAAAGTACTCACCTTTTTTGGGAGGGGGCTGGAGGCCGGTGAAAGTGACACCCCAGTGAATTTCCACCCCCAGCAATAATGCCACTTTCAACAAAAGCAGCTGAAGTTGCCGGATGCCTGGAAGGGAGAAGACATTAGGAACAGAACACTGGGACCCCACAGCCTCCCGAAGCACTGGTATGCCCCTGGTCAGAGCAGGAGAAGGTCTTAGGGATCACTCAGTCCAACTGCCCATTTTACAGGTGAGAGACCTGAGTCCTGAAAGCTACCTGGCTGAAGTGAATCTCGTCCACTCTGCCCCTTGGCTGGCCCAGCAGCGCCCTCACTGGCCTGTCTCTAGGCCCAGGCTCACCCGCCCCTCCAGACTACCACACGGTGCTCACTGATGTGGTCCAGGGAGCCTGTGCAAAAACGCCCATAGAACTTCTTGGCACCAAGTCCCCGAAGGTCATGAATGGTGAAGGGCCAGAGGTGGAGCACGTTGTGGCGAGAGAACTTGGTGCGCTTCTCTACCAGCACCACGCGGGCCCCGAGCATCGCCAGCTCCACGGCAGCCCGCAGCCCGCAAGGTCCCGCACCCACCACTAGGCACTGCGAACACACAAGGCAATATGGGCCTGGCATCAGGCCTCCCTCCCCTGACTTACCCCACTCTCCAAGCTCCATCCCAGGCACTGTGTACCCACCTTGGTGCTGGTGCAGGCCCGGCCCTGCTGGTACACAGGCTGGCTGGCTCGCTTGTCCAGCTTGGCCCACAGCGACTTGGCGCTCCAGTAGTTGAGCTGGGCCTTGATCTTGTGGTACTGGGGCAGCCCCCCTCCCGGCTCCAGCCCCAAGGCCCCGCACAGCCCCTGGAAGCTGCTTAGCACATCCTGGCACAGCTGGGCCTGCAGGAAGCTCTCAAAGTGGGCATGTGCAGGGTTGGTGGAGGTGGGTGCGGCCATGGAGACCCTGGGGGCTCCCAGAGAGGCGAGCAGCTGGGCAGAGGCACGTGGCTGCTGGAGAAAAGGAAGGAAGAGAAGGGAGGAGGCTGGAGAAAGGAGGAAGGGAAAAGGAAGGGGAGGAGAAGAAAGCAGTCTGGTATTCCCAGAGAGCTCCAGGTCCATCCCTGATTGGCTCTGCTCCTCTCGGCCAGCTGCTCCAGAGACAGCTGCTAACCCCTCCACTCCAAGTGAAATTTGCCAAATTTGGAAATGAAAAATCAGCAGTCCTGGGCACAAAGGGCACACGGGAAGCCAGGAAGCCTCCAGCTCAGTCTTCCTGTCCAGGGAGCTCCAAGCCCTATTCCATCTCTGAGGCCCAAGGGACAGGCATTCTTACTCTGCCTTCTTGAGGCCCTGGAAACAGGGCATGGGGAATTTCTCAAACGCGGAGAGGGCAAAGTGCCCAGGAGGAAAGCTTTCCTTGCAGTGCAGACAAGGACAGATCTACCAGCAACCCCAGTGGCAGGGCACACATGTTGTCCCATCTCACCCCACGCCTCCTTGTGCCGTGTGTCCCTCGATGGACTCAGTGCCACGCTGGCCATGGGGTGTGTTATGCCAGGGGCAAAGTTTTCCTCTTTTGCACTCGTGATTACCTCCTGAGAGAGGGGTTGACCATTTCTAATTCGGTGGATTCCACTTCCCACCACCAAAACTACCTTAACAAACAGCCTGAGGATGTTGCATCTGACTGAGTGACACACAATTGTGTCTATTTCTGACTCACTGCGGTCAAAATACTTCCCCTGTGACTTGTCACTGCTCCAGCGGGCGTTGAGGAGTTGAGGGGCGACAAGGCAGCACGATTCGCTCCTCCCAGCTTTCTCCCACCCCCATCGACGCCCCGCCCCATCCCCTGCATGATCTCCCAGGAATCTCCGGAGACAAGGCCTCCCTTTGTGCCCTCCTCCCTCGCTCGGGCCCCCATGCAACTTGAAGGGTATGGGAGAGGGCCTTCTCACGCTGGGACTGGGAGGAATCAGAGGGTATGGCGGATGTGGTTGCCCACGGGGGAGTTAGGAAAGGTGGGTGGCGTTGATGGGGGGAAGCCACTGGACTGATCCCCCTGAGCCCCCTCGACCGCCCACCGGTCCCAGCCTGAGCCCAGCGGGCCAGGCCGAGGCAGAAGGAGATTAAAATCGCCGCCACAGGAAACCTGTGGTAAGGAAGGGCAAAGGTCTCTCTTGAGCAGTGGAGAGGGGGTGGTGGTGGAAGGAGGAAGACCTCAGAGAAGTGGGTAGAGTGGGAAACGCCAGAACAAAGGGGTGGAGCTGTCTGGAAGGATGGAGAGGGAGCTTGACTACTGGAGGAGGGGGTCGGGAGGTACTCACACTCTGGACCATAAAGCCTGCAGAGGTGCTGAGCTGGGCTGAGCAGGACTGAGCAGGACTGAGCAGGTCGGAACTGCGGAGAGACGGGCCGGACCCGCCAGGCGGGACTCCCAAGCGCCCGGAGCCACCTTTCCCCGAAAGCGCACCCCTACTCCCACCCCGGGCCCCGGCGGACAAGGGGCGCACAGCTCCCGCAGCTGGACAACTTACCCGGGGGGCTCCGGAGCCCGGAAGGGCCGCTTCCTGCCAGGCGGGCGTCCCAGCCTGGGCGGGTTGTGGGGCGGGGGCGGGAGAAAGGAGGTGGAGGAGGCGCGGACCAAAGGCCGGGGTTGCGGGGCTGCGCGCCGGGTGCGCCGGGTGCGCCGGGTCCGGCTGGGTGTAGGCTTCCGTGAAGGACGCGCGGCCTGCGGAGGATTTATTCGCGCCTTATTAGCATCTCATTACACCTCAATCCCCGGCTCTGGATAGCCTGGGGCCCGCCCATGGGCGTGGCGCTGCAGACGCCGCGTTCCACTTGGGGGCCCGAAGACCCGGGCCCCGCCAGGCTGGGGTCTATAACCCAGCAGTCGGAGGCGCCCAGAGCCCGAGAGCGCGCCCGCGGCCTCGGGCTCCATCCTGGTGCCTTCGCCTACAAAGCTAATCCTTCCCGGGCGGACGAGGCACCCCACCATTACGCAGTGCCTACTCCGCCTCCGTCTCCGAACACTAGGCGGAGAGGGCACTCGGGCTGTGCAAGAAGTTTGCAGAAGCTGTTGGGTCCGTTGGTAGCGCCGGAACATTTGCGTTCTTCTACCGGGAGATGCAAGGCCCGAGCGCCCCACGATGGATCCAAGCGTGGGATCCGCCTCCCCTGCAAGCAGTCTGCTCTTAGACCTGGGCTGAGTGCATGGGCATAAATTCGAGTCCTGGAAACTTGGCAGTCTGCAGCTTCCACAGTGGCAGAGTGAGAGAACAAGAGGGTCTTGGGGTGGGAATGGGAATGTTAGACGACAACCAAGAATGGCAGAAACGGGAGGGATGTGTGGGTGAGAAACTAGTACCCCCAATAATCAAGATGCCTTGGAGAAAGGACCCACAGACCTGTCAGTGCTGAAAAGAGCTCGAGAGACCTTGGGGATCAACTTCCTCATATTCCTGATAAGGAAGTAGTGCTGAATGTGAAGACACTTTCCCAAGGTCATTCAACTAGTTAGTATTTATAAAACATCAACTGTCATTTATTGAACGTCTACAATGAATATCACCTTAATCTCAATGATCATTTCCCTAAATTTTACTGTCCCATTTTACTGAAAAGGAAACCGAGGGTCACAGAGGTTCTGCGACCCGCAACAAGTTACACAGCAAGTGGCAGAGCTGGTGTGGTCTATCTGGAGTTCACCAGACCAGACCCGGGTCTATCTGGACTCCATCACACCAGTGTTGATCCAACGTGACAAATGAAAGCCTGGCATTATAAGAAGCTGTTTCTTGTTTAGAGAGGGTGACACTGTTACATCAGAAACACTGACAAAACAGAGAAATAAATGGGTGGGTCCTTCCTGTGGGATCCAAGGACCAGAAAGAGGTGGTGTCCTCTCCCTTCTCTTTATTCTCACTTTGCTTTCTGTTTGGAAACCCTGAGACCCGGAAAGACCTGTATACTCACTTCTCCTGGCCTGAACAGAGAAGGAGACAGGGAAGGGGAAATGCCTGCCTCTCCAGGCAGGGAATTCAGCCAGGTTAGGCTCAGGAAACTAGGGCAGCTTCCCAGCTGGGTCTATCCTAGCTTTCAAGTGTGACTAGTCATTTGGCTTGAAATCAATCTGCCAAATATCAGACACACCCATATTTAAATACATCATATAAAAAGAGTTCTAAAGTCCACTCCAAATAGGTTACAAGTCTTTTAGAATCACCCTTATTTCCCTTTCATTAGCAGATGGTAAATAACCAGCTGCTCTGACTTAGTGCATTTGCAAAGGCCCAACAGGGTCTGCCCCTTGACTCAATAAATTGGGGTCACAGCCACAGTGTTGTGTGGCTCTCTGAATGACAGATGGTAAAACTTGTCTTTAAAAAAGATCACAGAACAATAACTTCATCAGTGCTTAAAAAACAGCTGACTTGGAGTTTCACTTTATGTTAAAGATACACAGTGGAGTAAAAAGCAATGGGGAATATATTGATTTGTAATCTTGAAGATCTGGTCAGATTCCAGCTTTGCTTCACACGAACTTAGTGTAACCTTGAAAAATCACCAACCACCATCTTCCATCTTATCTCTAAATGGAGGCAGTTTAGTTACTCAACCTCTTCAACATATTTTGACTCTAAAATTCTGTTATTAAGTGTTGGTGACTCTAAGAAATGTACAATCTAGGCCCCCTATTGGAACTTTCTTCAAAAAAAATTGACCTCTATTAAAGCTAAAAGAATAAATTATTATTATCTACAAATGTTTCTCTTCTTAATTAAAATCTTATTTGAAACATGAGCCACATTACATGTATATGAAACTAGAAATACTGGTGCAAACACATTGGCTAATTCATACTGAATCAAAGAAGTGGCTGATACATGAAAAGTCAGTTTTGAAAGAATCCCATTCCAATGTTTTGCAAATAATCATGCCAGTGGTGGCCTAGATGAAAAACCTGGGCCATTAAGATAGGATCCCTTTCCTCTAATCCACACCATGTTCTGTCTTCTTGCAATGTCATCCTTACCTCACCTCCCAATCTCTCATCTCCTAAGCCTGTAGCCCAAAACTAGATCCTTAGCAGGTGACACATCTAAGCTGTCCTGTATATGGCCTTACACCATATAAGTCAGTGCGTCCAAACACTACACCCACTGTTCTGGGTCAGGAGCTGTGCCTGCAGTGTGACCAGGCAGACACAGCTCCTGCTGTAAAAATAATTACCAAGTACAAAGTGTTGAGTGCTGTGGATGGATAAGAAAGGGTGGCTTGACTGAGATTAGAGGGTCAGGGAGGATTAGAGGGTGAGGAAGTGACACTTGCACTGAATTCTGACAAATGTGAAGACATTAGACAGAGTAGGGGCAGAAAACTTTTAAGCCTGAGAAAGTGCCTGCCTCAAAGCCCAAAGCAGGAAATTGCTGGGTATGTTTGGGGAACAGCAAGGAAGACAGTGTGGCTGGAAGTGAGAATGAGGAAGAGACTCAAGAGGAAGATGGGTTGAGGATTTCCCTCTGAGTGCAGTGGGAAACTGCAGGATTGTAAGCAGAGCAATGATTGTATTTGTCTTAATAACACATTGTCCATTCATTCAGCAAGGCACTCTGCTTGGTGCTGAGGGCACAATGGTGAGCCCAGACAGATTACCACTTACCGTGGAGAAAGGAGGAGAGGAAGAAATGCAGGCCTTGGCAGGAGTCCAGGCAAGAGGGCACGGTGATGGTGCAGCAGCTGGGATGCCCAAAGTGGATGGACTCAAAATACAGTTTGAGGTGAAACTGGCATAACTTGATGAGGGATTGGGTGTGTGTTATGGGGAGGAGGGGCCCATCAAGAAGGACTCCCAGTGTTCTCTCTAAACTGTTAAGAGTGAGTGAATACAAAATTTGGGTTCCTCATTCTTTCCTACTCTTCCCTGCAACTTTATCCTCTGTATGCTGCTTTTTATTCAAGTACCTTCTCCAGAAGTCAAAGCATGATTTCATAGACTCTAAGATAACACAAGGAACAAAGATTAAAATACAATTAGGTTCAGGATCTGTTTAAATACTTTCCCCTATTTTTATGAGAGTACTTTCATACTTCAAACATTAAGATTATGGAAAAATGTGCCCAGAAGCCACTTACTCATACTAGAATTATCTATTGAGAGGTAGATTTTTAAAATGTAGACATTCTTTTTTATATCTCTAACTTAGACTAAGGAAGCTTCAGTTTGAGTTTTCCTCTAATAAGGATAAAATACAAATGAACTAGAATACACATCATCAATAAAAATGACAATTAAAAAAAAACAAATGAACTAAAATCAAGAGCCAAACTATTCTTCTGGAAAATCTTCAAATACATATTTTAAATGATCTAATATTATGGATATTAAAAATTCAAAATAAATAATAAATCCATGCTCCAAGAACAAAGAAGTTCTCTGACCTGACTCCTACTCAAATTTTTCCCTTTCTACATGTCACAGTGGATAGAGTAGTATTTTTCACTTATTAAAAACAAACCAAAAAAAGAACTAAATGTTACTTACATTTATTCAAGTTTCTACACTTTGTGTTGAGAATGTGATCAAATAAGCTTAATATAAAAGCTCTCCTACTGTGGTACATTTCCGGTGAGGATATGTGAATATATTCCAGTCAACAAAAGTGTTTGTTGCTTAATTATGTGTAAAGAATTTGAAAGCAAGATAAACTATCACAGTGACATTCCAGCTTCTTTTAGAGGTCATTCATTTACACCTGCTGTTTACAAAAGGCAAGGGGGATCTTTTTAGGGGTCATTCCTCCAAACCTGCTCTTTACAAAAGCAAGACAAAGAGTTTTCTTTCAATTCTTAAGAAAGGCTTATTTTAGTTTGGAAACTGAGGGTGAAAATTTACCTTAATACTTTCAAATAAGGGTAGCAAAAATAGAGTAAATCTGCCCTAAATTTAAAATATCCTGTCAGAAGTTTGAAAAAGGAGCTCACTTAAAGTTCATGTTGGTTAAGATTTTTCATCCAATGTGTAAATTTTGATTAAGCTTTAAATCAATAGTAGTAAAATATTAATACAAGTATAACTAATATGGTAGTTATTACATTTCTATAGAAGACTAGAACTTTTACTATTATTGCTTTATGTAAAAAGTTTATGATTGCTAAAATTTCATACAGACCCCCAATTTTAGTCAAAAAGTTTCTGTTATATTAAGCAGATCATATGTAGAGAAATCCAGCTTAAAATTTTAAAAGGCTGATGCTAGGAAGCCCATTTGGTGGAAGCCACAGTGGATCAGCCAGTTGAGTACCCCAGTTCCAGCTCTGCCACTTAGTGTGTGACTTTGGGCAATGAACTTCATCTTTTGGGGCCTCAATGATCTCATCTGTAAAATAGGCATATCACTTACCTCATAGGAATGTCACAAAAATTAAGTAAAATGAGATTGTACTTCAAGTAGGTTATAGGTGTGTCCCAGACACCGCTTCCCTCTTCATTCCAGATGCCAGTTGTTATGGGCTGAACTGTGTCCACCCCCTAAAAAATTCATGTTGCTGTCCTAACATCCAGTCTCTCAGAAAGGGGCCATTTGGACATAGTGCCTTGAAAAAGGTGGTCATTAGGGTGAGCCCTAATCTAATCTGGGTGGTGTCCTTATAAAATTAGGACAAACACACAGAGGAAGACCATGTGAAGACACAGGGAGAAAACGATGGCTAGGAGGCCTCAGAAGAAACCAATCCCACCTATACCAGATCTTGGGACTCTCAGCCTCCAGAGTTGTGAGAAAATAATTTTCTATTGTTTAAGCTGCCCAGTCTGTGGTGTCTGTTATGGCAGCCCTCCCCAGCAAACGAATATACCAGTCACGGCCAGAGGGGACTGGAGTCCTCTAACCCAGGGTGCTGAATAAATCCTTTTTGTGCGCCATGACGTGGTAAAGGTTTCAGAAGCGCTAAGATTTAGACCTCACGCACCTGGCTTTGCTCCTGGCCCATAGTAAAGACTCAGTATGTGGCAGATATTGTTATTATTCCAATTTATGAAAACCTTGATGTAATAAGCATCTATGAGACTCTCAGATTCCTCAGCATCATTTAACCGGCTGCTCACATTTACAACACAAGAACCAAATGCAGAAAAATACACAGAGGAGAGGAAGAGGAGTTTTTGAGAAACACAGGGGCGAGCACAAGAGTAACTCATTTTGATGGCAGAAGCTGAAGTCTTCCTGAGGCCGGCCCTCTACTGAGAGAAAACCAGAGTCACCTTCAAGAGGAACAAGGTCATTTCAGTAGTTTGAAAGCATAATATTCTAATTCCTAACAAGTTCAGTTTGTCTTTCCGCACTTGTTAAAACCCTTTCTAAGACTGTTCTCAAGCTTAGTGCAAAGTGAGTTGTGAAACAATGAACCAGCAATTTCTCAGACAATAGAAACATTTTTACGTACATGACATTTCCTTTGGGTAGTCACTGAACTTTAAAATTCAGGATTTCATTAAAGGGACACAGTGTGTATTCGGGATGCAGGAGAGAGGCTAGATTTATGAAGCTATATTTTTCTCACTTCCCTTTGACAGCTGGTCAAATAACCCGGAACCTTCCCAGAAGAGATTTTCACAGCTGAGACCGACTCTCATGCTAGAGGCAGGCAGGCCTGCGTCACAGGAGCCACTGGCCACAGAGGCTAATAAGCACTCACAATGCAGCTACTGTGACTGAGGACGTGGCCTTTACTTTTAATCCTAATGTAAATTTTAAACCTGATACTTGTTTCTGTTACTGGGAAAAAATTATGTCTACAACTACTTGAATGTGTGAATCTAGGTTTTCAACTATAAATTGTATGAACTCTAAATACAGATCAAGTATGTATCATGAACATTAGCTACAAACTGAGTGTGCAGTAAATGTTAAATACACACCAGATTTTGAAGACTTAGTATGAAAAAAATGTAAACTATCTTATTAGTACATTTTAATGTTGGATATTTACATGTTGAAATATTTGGCAAATGTTAGAATAAATAAGCTATCTTATTAAAATTCATCTCACCTTTCTGTTTTTAACGCAGCCACTAGAAAAATTTAAGTTACACATGTGACTCACATTATATTTCTCTTAGACAGTGCAGAGGTAGACGTCATAAAGCTAGTTAAACTTGACTTGTAAATAGTCATGTGACCTTATTTCCTGAATAATTATCTAGCTACCCAGAGTGAGTAGTTAAACATTTATTTGCTTTAATACTATGTATCTCCTGGGCCAGTAGGGGTTGAAAAGCTGGTAAAAACACTGCACTTTAACAATAAGGTTAAATAGTTTAAATGACTAAATCAAGAACCTGAAATATTTAGTGCGTAACAGTATTCGTAAAAATTATCTCCAGTCAGGTCTGATTTAACATACTTTGGTTGACAGATATAAGATAAATCATTTTGGAATTTTTGAATTATATACAATAAAATATAGTTTGGCAGATATGTTAGAAAAATGCTTTCATCTTTTCTCAAAACTGAACAATTCTCTATTACTTTAACCTTCAAAAAAACTTGCTTGATTCAGGTGGAAGTCAAAGATATCTAAAACAAAAAGTGACTAATGTGAAGTCCTGTTAATTTTAGGGGAGATTATCCCTACTGTCCACCAGCATTATGTTAATTTATATATACTAGTGCCCACCTTCTTTTCTCAAAAATCCTCTATCAGTTTACTTGAGAGAACGTGGTCAAAGTATTCAATAAAATAGCTGGAAAATTTAACCCAAATATAATTTAATCTTCTGATGGTTATTTAAAATCACACAATTACAGACACGCTGGCTCCTAACTCTTGGAGGCTCAAGATGATTTTTAAGATGAGAATTTTCTTTTTTAAATGATGTGTCTATTTTGTGAGATTTAATCTTCTTTGCAATAAAAATAGATTATAGTAAGTTCCTATCTAGAACGTTATTAGACACAATATACAGAACATTTTGAGAGATCAATTAGATTCCAGTATTATCCAGAGTATATTTAACACAAATTACACTGAATTTTATATTCCAGGATAATTAAGAAAGCTTTAACTTCACCATGAAGATCAAACATCAATGCTGACAAAAAGTCAGAATTTATTTGGGGTGAATATCTTGATCTAATTTTGTACTTTAATTAGACTTTTAAATTTTCAACAACCTGCTTTTAAAACACATGTAAAGCTATGTATCTCAGAAAAATTGAATTCAGAATTTAAAAAATAATCCTATCCTTTTGGTTTTCTTGTTATGTGAATTTTGAGTTAAAACAGACATTTAGATTATATGCCTTTCAATCTATCTTAAATGTGACATGATAAGCCCACTGCACCACACGAAGATTAAATATTGAGAAGTTACCATGTCTTAGGGGATTGGAAATTGTTAGAAGAACAGTTCCCCAAGTTGTAATCTGCCATATTTATCCCCGACTTGTCTTGTAGTGACAACTGTGTCACCTAAGAGAAATAAGGAGGGGACCCAACCATTCTACCCAATTCAACACATGACTTCCTTTGTTCTAAAAAATAAAAAAGATAACTGGAAAGGTCAGCAAGACCATAACCTCTGGTTGTGAACATTTAATACTCACAGGAGAGTCTAATTCAGTTTCCCCAAAGAAAAGTTACCCAAGTCTGTAAGAGACATAGTACATGAAAATGCAAACCATTCGTCAACAGTGAAATGCCAGATCCAAATCAGCATTAGATGTAAGACATGACACATCTTGCTTCCTGGATGGGAAGCATTATAGCTCCAGCTCAGCTCAGCTAAGGTCTGTAAGACCTGTAAGTGAGCGCTGCAAAAGGCCTGACTTCAGGCACATAATCCAGTCACTGCGGGCTTGCGGAGAGGAGACCAACGGAGCAGTCGAGTGCGTTTTCAGGTCAGCTCTGCTCCTGGCTAAGCGGTGTGGGCTGGGGCACGCGGTGGGCGGGTGGCGGCGGAGCAGGCGCCTGCGGCAGCTGCAGGTGCTGAGCCGGATCTGAAGCGCTCGCTAAATGGAGCTCCTCTGTTTGCTCCTGATGGGCGTGAAGATGTGCCAAAGTTTCCTTGGACAGTGTGATTACGTGCACGGGCTCGGTCTGTGAGGGTTCCATCTGGCTCTCAATCATATTGAGGCTCTGAAGGTGCTCTGTTTGCTCCTGCTGAGCTGAAAGAATTAAATTCTGCAGCTGCTCGGGCGGCTGCGTGAGCAGGGTGAGATTAGCAGCCTGGTCTGCGGTCATGCTCTGGGAACTCTCCGCAGTGACAATGCTGATTCCTTGGCTAGGACCAGGCATGAAATTGATGTTATGTACAGAATCCGTTACAAGAAGCTGAATTTCCTGCTCTCCGGAGGTAGAGAGTTGATAGGGCTGCAGCTGAAGAATATTCCTGACATCCTCAGTATTATTATTGCCGGAAACGCTGCTGGCATCGGACGCCTGCTTCTCTTTGCTATGGATTTTCAAGTGAGCCTTCAAGTTGTCTAAGCGAGCAAACTGTAAGTTACACTCAGGGCAGGAGAAAGGCTTTTTGCCCGTGTGTAGAATGCAGTGTCTCCTCTTGGCACTCGAGTCAGAGAAGGATTTGCCACATACAGCACAGGAATATGGCTTTTCTCCTCTACAAGAAAATATACGTTTTATTTTTTAAACATCAATTTATTACTTCCTGATTATTTAGGGAGAAGCAGTCAAGAAGAAAGGAAAGTTAGCTTAACCAGGAGACATAAGTCATGGGTTCTCCTACTAACGTAAGGGCTTGGAGCAAGTCACACCTTCTATGGGCTTCATTTTCTAACCTTAAAGAAAAAAAGGGGGAGTGGGTATTTGAGGACGGATGGTGGATGGGGCTGTGGGGCTGGGTTAGATGTGATAAAATTTTATGATTCCATTGTGCGTATTTCAGATAAGAAGGTAAATGTTAATACATTACACATAAAATTCTTTTTTGCTTTTAGTTCTCACAGCCAATTTTTAGACTCTAGAAGCCAAATAAATACATGTTTGATTTCAATACTACAAATTTAAATAGCCCGTAATTGTGTTAGATGAACAAGTCAAATCTGGAAATAAGTTGTGTTAACAAAAAATTTATTCAGAAGATATTAAATTTAATATTTAGTTTTGATGAGACTTAAGCTTTGGAGTAGCCCCCCAACCCAAAATTAAAATTCAAGAAATGACATCAATAATGCAGACTTTTGCTGTTCAGAATCAGTTTTCCTGATTTTGCCTAAGTGAGAAATTTCTTTATTGAAAAGATAAAACAAAATAATAAACTACTCAGGAAATTTCTACCAGAGTAGTAATTTGGGGAAAAGGACTATAAAGGTAATATATGTCACCCTACTGAATATTAGGAGTGAACGAGGACTCCATGTGAGAAAACTGTGCAAAACTTTACCGATGGATTCTGATGTGGGTCTGAAGAGAACTCTTTGCTGTGAACGATTTGCCGCAAATTTCACAAGTAAATGGCTTCTCACCTAAAAAAGGGGAAAGCATTCAGAGATATACATCCAAAATAAAACAAAAAGAAAAAGTCACCCCATGGTATCACAATACAAAAAAGAATGAAGGCAGTACCACTTGAATTCTCAGTAGGCATGAGTGAGTGAATCAATGGAGCACTTAGCAAGTGCCTACCACGTACCTGAGCACTGTGTGCCAAGTGCCCCGAGGACTCAGAGAAGTATAAGGTACAGTCCTTTCCCTCAAACACTTAAAAACTGAAACAAGGAGGTGGCGATTAAATGGACAGAAACCACATCTGCTTCTGTGTGGACCTCCCTTAGGTAACTTACACTCTCATATTCCTGCGTGACCTTCCAGGGACACCCGGGATGGTGCACAATTAGGGATGACTCCCATTTCCATCTCCTTTCCCAGAACCTGACCACTTCTTGCCACCTCCACAGTTACCCCCGGCCCAGGCTGCCACCACCTCCCGGCAGCAGCCCTGCTCCTGCTTCTGTCGTCCACCATGAATGTGGCAACCAGAGTGATTCTATACACGGTCAGATCCTATCACGTTCTGCTGCAAATGCTCCAACAACTCCCTGTCCTGTCTGTGGAGATAAAAGCCAAAGCCCTGGGCCTACAAGGAATCAGAGAGCTGCCAGGTCTGTCTGCCCAAGGCCATTCCTCACCCCAAGCCTGCCTAACCTCATCGGGCACTCTCCCCTGCTCACCAACTCAGCTTCCAGAGAGTCCCTGAACACCACGTCCCAAGCAAGCCCCGCCCAGGGCCCTTGCACTCACCATCCCCACTCCCCGGCATGTCTCCCCCAGGAGTTTCCCAGAGAGGTTCACTCTCCACACTGCCTTCCAGTCTCTGCTCAAGTGTCACTTTATCAGTGACGCTTCATCACCAGAGAGTACTGACCCAGCATGTCTCGGCTGGCTTCCCTGAGTTAGTTTCCCCACAAGGCCATCCCCGGCTTATACACTCTACGTATTACTTACGTGTCTATCCCGTTCTTGACATTTTTTTTTTAGTATTTTCTTTTTTAAAAATATATTTTTGTTGTTATTTATTTGCTTTTGTTTTGGGGGAGGTAATTAGGTTTATTTATTTATTTTTTTGATGGAGGTACTGGGGACTGAACCCAGGACCTTGTACATGCTAAGCATGTGCTCTAACACTGAGCTATGCCCTCCCCCACTTGTGTCTCCCATTCTTATGTAGGATGATTTGTGGGCTTGTCCACTCCGAGGACCCCACTGTCTAGAACTGGGCCTGGCAAATGTTCCAGAAATCCTTGTTGAATAAACAAATTTCAAACTGGGAATTAAGGCCCACACACGATGTCGTGACTGCTCCAGACCCACTAGGAGTAATAAGGCTTCTACAGCATTTATTCAGCGTTAGTTTGTATACTGCACATACAATGACAGACTGCCATGCCCTCCAGAAACACAATTATTGTTCCTAACGGAGGCAAGGGGACTATGAATTAAAAAAAGAAAGAAAAAGAAAAGCAAAATCCCACTTAACTAGGTAACAGCAAGGGATGAGTGAAGTGGAGGATGGTCAGGTAATTTCCCTTTCACAGCATCTACTAGAAAATTTAGGCTAGTTATTTCCCCAAGTTCAATCTAGGCACAGGACGCTTATGACAACTTGGGACAATCTGCATCTTTGCAGCAATGACTCTTACCCACTCCAAAGGTTAAAAGCAGGCCACTGCCACTGTCTTTCCAAAAAATCACACAATCATCTCAATAGATGCAGAAAAAGCATTTGATAAAATTCAACACTCACTTATGGTAAAAACTCTTACCAAAGTGGGTTCAGAGGGAATATATCTCAACATAATAAAAGCTATGTATGACAAACCCACAGCCAGCACAACACTCAATAGCGAAAAGCTGAAAGCCTTTCTGCTAAAATCTGAAACAAGACAAGGATGCCCACTCTCATCACTTCTGTTCAACACAGTACCGGAAGTCCCAGCCACAGCAATCAGACAAAAAGAAATAAAAGGGATCCAAACTGGAAGAGAAGAGGTAAAACTGTCACTATATGCGGATGCATACTATATATAGAAAACTCTAAAGACCCCACACAAACGATTAGAATAAACAAATTCAGAAAGGTGGCAGGATACAAGATTAACATACAGAAGTCTGTTGCATTTCTTTACATCAATAATGAAATATCAGAAAGGGAAAGTTAAAAAAAATCCCTTTTAAAATTGCATCAAAAAAATAAAATACTTATGAATAAACTTGGCCAAGGAGGTGAAAGACTTATACATGGAGAACTATAAAACATTGATAAAGGAATCTGAAAATGATTCAAAGAAATGGAAAGATATCTCATGCTCTTGGGTTGGAAAAATTAATAGTTAAAATAACCATACCATCTAGAGGAATCTACAGATTTAATGTGATCCCTATCAAATTACCCAGGACATTTTTCACAGAACTAGAACAAATAATCCTAAAATTTATATGGAACCATAAAAGACCCAGAACTGCCAAACCAATACTGAAGAAAAAGAATGAGGCTGGAGGCATAACCCTCCCAGACTTCAGACAACTCTTACTCTGCAGAGCTACATTAATCACAACAGCATTGTACTGGCACAAAAACAAGACATATGGATCAATGGAACAGAACAGAGAGCCCAGAAGTAAATCCACATACTTCTTTTCTCCCTAGGCTAAGAATCTCTTAAGTACTTCTCTTCCTACCACTCTCCTGACCCAAAGGCCTTCATCTTTCTTCCCCAAAGAGCCTGTTAACTGGCTTATTGTCAGAACTTACCCTCTCTGACCATCCTCTTGGGGCTGCTTGAGTAGCTCTTTTCCATACAGGAAGCAAAATACGCCTCCTTTTTGCCGAGAGATCTCCCCTTGCCTTCACCGCAGGTCCGCCCCGTGGTCAGCAATCCCACTTTAGCTGTTCATCAGGGAACTCCTTACCACAGGCCTGCCAGGCCTCTCACATTCTCAACCCTACGCATCCTGTTCCCCTCTGGGAACGCCTCTTCCCACTTCCTCTGTCCATCCAGCACTTACTCTGGCTTCAAGATCCAGGTCTTTCCTCTGGGATGCTTCCCCAGATCTTCCCAGGGAAAGTTAATCACCTCTGTGTTCACATCTCTACTGGGGCTTTTATCACACTCCACTGAGGTCCTCACTAGAGCACATGTAGACTCTGGAAGGGACTGTTGCAGGAGGGGCCCCTGATCTCACAAAGATGGGGACCAGCAATGTTAATGGATAGTCTCGACACAGGGCTAAGGAGATTTAGGAAGCTTCAAATCCAACCCAACAAAATGAGGCTGTGAATGAAAGCTGTGACTCAGTTACCTGTATCACAGGCAGGGCACCTGCCTGGGAGTGGGAGCCAACAGGGGAGGATTGGTGTTTACCTAACATCACATGCAAGGGACAGGGACACTGGACGGCTGCGACTATACTGTATGAACTGGGGTCAGAGGCCACTCACCAGGCTTCTCTTGGGCTAATTCCCTGAACTTGTCCCCAGCTCATCGAGCAATCTTTTGATCACTAACTTATTTTCAGGTACACTGATGTCAGGAAGGCAGTACTGCAGACAACAGAAAGGTGTAGTCCCTTTGTTAAGTGAAAACATTTGCTGCTTTCTCAGTCCTGTGCTTGGCATGGCTTGGCTCAGTGCCTGATAGCCTGACCAGCTCCATGTACGGGGACAAGAGCTAAGCTGCAGTGACCTCACGACACTGCCTGTCATCTTGCCTCCATGTCAAAATACATCTGTCTACCCAACTGAAGATGCCCTCTTAGGGAAGAAAGCATCTCTTACTTATCTCTGACTTCTTGTGCTTGGCAAAGGACATCTAACCCAGAGAGAGTTTGCACTTAAAGAGCTAAGAGATGACAGTGTTGGTTTTCCAGTAGGTGTGGCCCTGCTGTCGCAACAGGTGCTCTTGCTTGGCCTTCTCAGCACCACCTGCCTGCCGGGCCTGTTCACAACTCCGTCTGTGCCTCTCCCAAACCTCCTCGGGGGAGCAGGGAAGTGGCACGCCAACACCAACTCTTCTCAACCCCGACATCGTACACGCTCTCGGTGCTAAGGACAGATGAGTCACAGTCCCAGCCTCAGAGAGCCTAATACTCTGACGGGTTTCATTTCTTATTTCTAAGGATACAAACCACTTTACAGAGCCCTTGTCATCTCCTTTTTCACCCATCACATCGCCACTTCCCTCTCCTGCTCCCGAGAGTAGAGAGTGGAGCAGTTTGCAGGGATTACAGAGAGAGGACTTGTTCTGCTTTTCACCCCTACTTCAAGGCCCGCTTCTCCTCAGAAAGACCAGAAGCCTCACTGACATCTTATGCTCAGAAGACAAGATGAAGACGCGATGTCTCAGCTCTGGCACTGTCCAGAGGAACCGAGGCCCCTGGGCTCCCCCCGCAGACTCTTCACAGCCCCACATGCCATTCACAGGCCTACATGTAAGCATGTACATCCGTATCTCTGCTTGCAGGTCTCCTCTGAACTCGGACTCAGATGTCCAGCTGCCTCCTCCACACATGTACCTGGATGTCAGAGAGACATCTTAGACCCCACATGTCTAAAATCTAACTCTTGATTTACTCCTCCATCTGCCCCAGTTTCTCATTCTTCCAGCTGCTTCTGCCTTCCCTTCCTCTTAGCCCTCCACATCTAACCATGAGCAAATCACGTCAGCCCTTCCTTCAGATCACATCCGGAACTAGACCACTCAACACCGCTTCCACTGCTACCACCCCGTGCAGAGCCCTGATTACCGCACCGGCCTCCCAGGGGGTCTCTGCACCCTCCCGAGGGCACCTGCACCCCTGCCTCACCCCACCCGACCCCACGTGGAGCTGGAGCAATCCCATTAAAACTCTACATTACATCACATCAGTCCTCTCCTTAGTCATTTCACTCAGAATAAAACCCAAAGTCTTTTTTTGCGGCCTCCAAAGTTCTCAGGCCTAAGTGCGCACTAGAGAAACCTGGAGAGCTCCTAAAAACACCAGTTCTGAGCCTCATTCCAAGTCACTTCAGTCAGAGTCTCTAGGGGCAGGACCAGGCTTTTTCCATTTTAAAGCTTCTCAGGTAACTGAAGCACACGCTGGACTGGGAACCCCTGCATGACAGGGACTCCAGCAGCCTCTGACATCCACCCGCACCCCACCCTCCCACTCCCACCGCCCCAGCACTTCCACGCCCACCAGAAACCCTCCTGCCTCAGGCCTCTGCACCTCCCATTCCCTCTGCCCACAACGCTCTTCTCCCGGGTAGACACAGCCCTTGCTCAGTCCCCACAGCATTCACATCTCCGTCCACAATGTCACCTCCCCTGCCCGCACCAGCCCCGTCCCCTTGCCCTGCATTCAGTTCTTCATAGCACTTACCCCCACCTAACACGTCACACAGTCACTTGTCCTCTGTCCCCCTGTTTGAACATCAGCCCCTCAAGAGCTGTCCATCTCATGCACTGTGCTATCCTCAAGACCATGAAGACTGCCTGGTACCCAGTAACTGTTCAGCTAATATGTGTTCAGAGAATGAATTAAATTTCACAGACCCTATTAATGATGTCTGTGGAAAGAGTGTCTAGAGATCCATTTTTATAAAACTCAGACCCAGTGAGATATTTAAGAAAGTAAATGACCTTAAGTAGAAAAACTTGTGTTAAAAAAAAATGTCCAAGGCAACATAAAGCAATCTGATATATAATTTTGGTGGACAATTTACCAGAATCATTAAATTATCAACTTACAATAGGAAGTTTTTCTTAGAAAAATCTAACAGGTTTCTTCCTAAGAAGTGCTTCTTACCCAAAGTTCTAAAAGGCCTACATTTTTACTTTTCTGATCTTAAGTGAAAGAATTTGACCTGCTCTAATTGATCCTGCCTCCTCTTCCTCCTGGAAGCTGATTTTTCTGAAGGTGATGATGCTAATGCTATAAGTACTGGTTCTAGGAGAGAAAGTGAAAAAATCCTCAGTGCCTGTGCTACCTTTGTGTCTGCTTCACTTTGCTTCCTTTTCTAAAAAAAATTATTTTGATAATCTTTTGATGAAGTAAATTAAGACTGAAACACAGAACCTGATTCAGACTTGTTCTATTTAGTGGTATTAAGTGAAGTTTCATAAATGAACAGTGCTCAGTAAGTACTCTCGGTTTTGCTAACCTACAGAGATGAGATTTCCCCATAGCACAGTGTATTCTGCCTGGGCTTTTTAAATGATCTACTTATAAAATCCCCACTCAATTTACAATAAACACAGCCTGAGGAGGGGACTCCGAACACTTCATAACTCATTCTCCCGAAAACAGGAAGAAAGGGCAAGATGGAGTTTTACCCGTGTGTGTTCGTAGGTGTTTCTTTAGCTGAGACACATCCATGAATTTGCGGCGGCAGTGGTTGCATTCCGGTAATGAGTGGCCTTGTCGCAACAATAAAAAAAGTGTCAGTGCATATATGCTGTCCCTGCATTTCTTCAGTGATTTGTGTTAAAGCACTTCCCTGAAAAATAATCACTTTAAATATGGTACTTTAATAAAACAACAATTTTTAAATTAAATCTGGTTAACAGTAAATATTTTCCTATGCATCTCAACTCACTGCTTCCCAAAAAGAGGTGGGACCCTTCCAAACTCCCTAAATATAATCTCCTTTTCCTCTTGAAGCACTGGTGTGACTGTGGCTAACTGATCTTAAGTGATGCTCCCAATCCCCTTTTCATTTCTTCTCAGTTGGCAGAAAAGAAAAGAGGCCCACAGGTGGAGCCAGCTGGAGAAAGCTCGGACTGGCACTTATGGGGAGGAGACACCATTGTTCAGGCACCACTAACAACCAATTAGCAGGAGCCCCCTTAGTCAAGCGGCACCTTGAACGATACCAATTTTGCAGGGCTTCTGTGTATGGCACCAAAATGATAATATAAAAATTTAATATAAATCAGAGTAGTAGAGAATAATACAAGGACACCCAATTTATATTGCTTTTTAAAGAATTATTTCCCTAAAAACTCATTTATCTTCCGCAACATGAATCTGACATTTCTGAAACAATTTGTAATTGCTCCCCACCTCAATCCCAATTTTCCCTCACTTTATTGTACCTGTATGAACTCGGTAATGGCTCTTTAGTTGTCTTTTCTGGCTGAAATATTTTCCACACTGATCACAAGTAAAAGACTTCTGTCCTGCCAAATAAAAAACAAAACACGCAAAAGACTATAAAGAACTAGAAAGCTCACTAATAAGGTAAATATCATAGTGGGCCCAGGTCCCCATTTTCTATAAAAAAAACACAAGTTGACTTGTCTACAAACCCAAATGTCACTGTAACTTAAACATGCAAAGACATGAAAGGCAGTAAGGAGTGATGGAGACTGGGGCAAACTGGGAGAATTCAAATTTGCCCCAAAGGCATCCAAAGTAAAATAATTCTAAACTCTGGTGGTTAAAACATGCCTGCATGTTGAACTCCCAGCAGCCAGTTTATAAGCCCTAGTTTAAGGCTCATTGCTGTGCAGAAGTCTACACTGTGACAGATGCATAATTCTGTCTTTCAATGACACTGCTTGGAGAATGATATCGGGGAGGAAAGACCACTCAGATGGCAGTAATGCCCACCCGGGAACTGGAACCTGGTGGCAGCGGGCCCTCTGGCACAAGCCTGGCTACCTGAGTGCAGGCTCATGTGCTCCAGCAGCGAGTGCTTGGTGGTGAGAGCCTTGCTGCACACGGTGCAGGTGTACGGCCGCTCGCCTGTGTGCATCCGGGTATGGACTTGCAGGGAATGCTTCTGGGCAAAGCCTTTTCCACATTCATTACATTTGAAAGGTCGCTCCCCTGGAACAAGAGCCCCAGAAACATGGCATAAGCAAGAATCTGCACATCTTTCTGTCCTCTCTCCAATTAAAACGACAATGAATGGGAGAGACATCAGCAATAAAATTTTGCAAGCTCAAACAGATGAATCTGATGCCAGCAGTGAGGAGTGCTAAGAGAAGTATGACCTAATTTTAAGACAGAGCCTCTGCAAGGCTCAGGAATTGGTGGCACCCGTTATCTCTGAAAGTAGGGGGTAAGGAAGGATAAATGAGTGTTCCAAAAGTAGCTGGCAACTCCCCTGCCCCGATCCAGTCTCCTGCTTCACGCAACCAGGAGACCACCTCTCTCCCTAACAGAAGATAGAGACTGTTCTCTGAAGAGGGTAAATCAAACAAAGGGTCTCTGGACTAGGGGACTCCGGGTTAGAGGCCTCCCAGATCGGTGGAGCAGGACCACCATAGGGAGAACAAGTCAAAGTTTCCATCTGGGACAATGAGACCGCTCCCCAACCCAGCCTTTGGTCCCTTCTTGTGCCAGACACTGGCAGCCAGGCCTAGAGCCTCCAGGTGGGAGGTGAAGTGCCTTCTCCTGGAATGCGATGGGCTGGAGGAAAGAGAGCTGAAGGAGCCAGGGATCAGCGAGGATGCCCACAGGCCCTCTCCACACCCACAGAGTTGCCTGCAGCTTTTAGCAAACCATTCTTGCATATAATTAAATACAATTAAAACACACACACACAAATCATCAGTCAAGGAAGGCCTTAAGTAGTTGAAATAGATACAGAACAGACAAGAGAAGAAGCAACTTGCAGAAAACAGAGACTGCCCAGAGTGAAGAAAACATTAAAAGCTAAGAAATAAGCAAATGCTGTTTTCAGCAGGCTCACAGACGTTATAATATTACATTGTGAAACAAAGAGGATTCTAACTCATAAGAAAAAAGGAACTCAGAGAACAAAAAGAGCTCCTACCAGTAAAAAAGTAAGAGCAGAAATAGGAAAAACAAAAGTTAAAATATAAAGAAATCCCCAGAAAGTAGAGCAAAAAGTGATGGAAAATAGGAGAGAAAAGGTAAAAATGTTAGAGGATGGGTCCAGGAGGTTCAACATCCAAACACCAAGAGTTCCAGAGAAAAGAGTAGAGACATCTATGAAATAACATCTATGAAATAATTCAAGAAATTTTCCTGGAAGTAAAAAATACGAGTTTCCAGACTGTATGGATCTACTGGTATCCACCCAAACGGAAGAAGAGAGACCCACACTAAAGTGATTTAATGCAAAACTGCAGAATACAGGGGGCAAAAGGGAAGACCCTACATGCTGTCTTCCTTAACAAATCCTATAGAACTATTTAACTCTTTAAATGATCCTTCATTACGTTCAACAAATTAAGTGTCTACTTAGTTCAAAGAACTAGAATTCAGGGTTCTCAACCTATCTGTCCTTAAAAAGCACCAAAGCTCCAGATAATGAAGTCAGAAGCTCTGGGGCTGGGACCAGGCACGGGTAGTTCTTCAAACTCCCTAGGAGTCTGTAACGTGCAGCCAGGTTGAGAACCACAGTGCTGGACGCTCCTGCGTCACAGGATGGCTGTGGATGAAGGAAGACTTAAGTATCAGTTCCCATACTTCAGCTTACAATCAGGTTGAGGGGTATATAACAGGGATATAACTACAGCCTGACCCACAGCTGCACGAGTTAGGTGTATAAGAGAGGCTCACAGGAGGAAGGGGTTTCTGGCTAGGGCTGCACTGTCCAATATGGTGGCCACTGAAATTAATTAAAACAAAATATTCAGTTTCTCAGTCATATTCACCACATGTCAAGCACTCAAAACACACATGTGGCTAGTGGCCACCATAATGGACAGCACAGATATAGAACAGTTCCATCCTCACACAGGGATCTATTGGCCAGCACCGGGCTAGAGGTACCAAAGAGGTAAGGACATTTACAGCTAGATGGCTGAGTGAGAAAGTTGTCCAGACCTGGGCAAAAACATAGTTATGGTTGGGAGGGAGGGTATAGCTCAGAGGTGGAGCACATGCTTAGTATGCATGAGGTCCTGGGTTCAATCTCCAGTACCGCCATTATAAAAATAAATAAATAAAAGGAAAAAAATGTTTAAAACCCCACAGCTATGGTCAAGACGAGGAATCTTCAAGAATCTTAAAGCAGATTAAATGTGGCTAGAGTTTGCTTGCTTCCTGGACATTCAAGCCTTGAACCACAACTTCAAATAAGAAGAGAGGTCCTGGAATCAGGTCCCTTGGGTTCAAATTCCAGCTCTGTCACTACATCGATGCCCTGGGCAAGTTACTTTAAGCTTTCTAGGACTTAAGTCTCTTCATCTGTACAACCAGGATAATATTACCTATCTCACAGGACTGCTGTGAGACTTCACTGCAGTAACATGTACACTTTGTGACAATGCCCATCACACAGACGGTGCACAATAAACGAAAGCTATTATTATGGTTACTTCTCCAAATCACATTCCAATAAGCTGTGAAAGTGTAATTACCTGTGTGGCTCCTCTGGTGGATTGCTAAAAAGTGATTGTACTTAAACACTTTGCCACAGTCTTTACAACGGGCCTCAGGGCCACCGGGGCGCTTCCTCCTTCCACAGACCCTCTTGGCTGAACCCTGGTCATCTTCATCCCCAACAAGTTTGTAATCTTTAAGTTTGACAGATCTCCGAATCCTCCGCTTGCTGCACCGGCTCTGGCTGTCCTGCCCGTCAAGGGTCTGGGGATCACAGTTCTCATCTTTTTCAGCCGGCACTCCCTCCCCTCTACCTGGCTCACAAACAGGCTCAGACTCTTCCAGTTCTTTTGCTGGAACCTGCTCATTCAGTACACCACTGTCTCCTTCTTTAACCACAAAGTTTTGTCTATTCTGAACTGAGTTGTTCACTCTGAGCTGTGTTTCCTCTTCTGCAGTCAGTTCTGATTTCCCCTCCTGTAAACCACTGACTTTCCTGGGTCTTCCCCGTTTCCGCTTTGGGGGATCATTTTTCTTATTAGAAATAACAACCACTGGAGCACCAGCGGTGTTCAGAGTCGTTGGCTTTGGGGAGCTATGATTATTCTGAAAGTCTGTATAAGCCTTTACCAGGTCATAGACTTTTAAGAATTGGGCAGTGGCCAGGATTTGTTCTGTACTTTTCTCACTGGCCTGGAGACAACCTGTGTAGATAAATTCCAGCAGGATGCCAAATGTGTCAGCAACCATGCCTTCCAGCATATAAATGGACTGGCCGATCTCCCCCTCTTCAGCAAACATCATTGAGAAGTATTCACTACTAGCAGCAAGCAAAGCTTTATGGGCCCGGAAATGCACATTCTCCACGATTAAAGTAATGTCACACAGAAAGCCTTTCTTCCTCTGATTCTCAAAACTGGCCAGGACAGTGTCACTGTGGGTGTCTGAATGTACAACAAGCTGCCCAGGAGGCTCTGATGATGTCTCTGCCATTTTCTTTAGAAGCCCAAGAAGGATTAATCCTGAAATAAGAAAATATTATTTAAAAAAGAGGAGGCATTATCTAACAATCCCACTCCAAAGGCACCTACTCTTCACTTCACTTTAACTAAATTTTACCATTTACCACTGTTAAAAGTCTATTTAAAAACTTAGCTTTAGGTTCTTATACTTATTGTATCATCACCCAGCCGAGTGAATTTCCGACATCCACGGTACCGCTCGGGGTTCATTTTCTCCTCTGTAAAATAAATTGGGCTCAACCACCTCTTAAGTCTCTCCCTGCACTAATTTTCCATAGTTGCATAAACATCAGAATGAAAACTACAGTGCCTGGATTTTACATGTTATTAGCCATTTTGTCTGTGAAACAAAAATGGAAAGGGCGACGACAACGTCCACGTGCGAAGTGAATTTTGGGGTAGCTGCAATTAAGTAATAGTACTGTAAAGCGTATTCGGCCTCGCTCTGTAAGGGCGGCGTGGATCGCTCAGGCTGGCGCCAGACGACACGCGGCGCGCAGCTGCGGGCGGGCAGGCCGTTCCCCGGAGCCCGTGGTCCGCCAAGCTGGGAGCGGGGAGCCAGGCGACGGGGGGCCCCCACCTCCGAGCCCCGGGCCCCTCGGGCC